GCTCTAGATCCCCTACAAGATGGTTATTTTGAGACATTATTCTGCCATCTTCTTGGTCAGCCAGCTTTCCAAATAAAGTCCTATTCCTTGCCTCAACACCTTGTCTCTTTATTGACATGTCATACAGATTTATTAGCCTGTCATGCAGTGAACATAGCGAGCTTGAACTTGGTAATAAACATACCACAAAACTTAGTGGACTTAACTAAATTCATATAGACATGGCTCAACAGGGATAATAGAAACATTGGCTATCTTGATCATTATCAGATCTGGCTGCTTATGCTGGCTGTTGTCTGAGATCTTAAATGTGGATTCAGCCTTTCTGCATGTGCATGGTGATGGATTCTGTAGGTGAGCATTTCATGAGAGCCAAGTAGACACCATACCACTTTTTATTCCCTATTGCACTTGCACTGCATTCTTTTCATTGAGACATCTTTGAAGTACTATGTAGTTTTAGGTCCATTAAATAGATTCCAACTCTTGATGGGACAGTGACAAAGTTCTGGAAGAGCATCTCAAACTGGAATTACTGCTATCTTTATTTTGGAAAACACATTATGCCATCCATTCATATTTTATTATCTTTGGTTTGTCTCATCTTCTTGTACTTTGTCCATCTATTAGTTCATCTGATTTTATAACACATGTCAAAGGAAATTACAGGTATCAGTACATTTCCTCATAAGTACTGTTTTACTCATATCAATAACTAGAGTTCAATACTTTTTACAAGTTATGCTTTATGCAATTTTACAGAAGTTTACATAAAGTGAAATATGCTAATCTTAAGTGTATAATCAATATATATTGGTGAATACATTAAGCTGTGTAACTCAAACACCTCTCATCATATAGAACACTACATTAGCCCAGGAAATTTCCCCATACCCCTCTCAGTTAGTCGGAGATTCCCCCATATAGAGGTATTCATTATTCTGATGATTTTTTTTCACCCAGGCTTAGTTTTGCAGGTTTTAGAACTTCATACAAATGGAATCATACAGTATGCCCTGTTGTTTTGTAAGGTTTCACAGGTTGCTTTTTTTCCCCAGTATATACAAAGGCAGCTGATTTTTTTTTTTCATATTTGGTGGTATTTATTGGTTCTCTCTCCAAAATGGAACAATAAACTTGACAAAACTGTCACATAGTCATCAGAAACCAGCCACCAATCTCAGCCAAGCTCTCCTGACGTCTCTATGTAACTAATTAGTACTCGACAGCTGGTGGCTAAAGGAAAGGACCACTTTCACGTGGATGGAAGGACAAGCGAAGACAAGACCACTAGTGTCTATGAGGCATGGAAGACAGCTGATTTTTGTATGTTGATTTTATATCCTGAAACTTTACTAAACTAACTTATTAATTCTAACAAATTTTTTGTGGAGTCTCTAGTATTTTCCACATATAAAGTCACGTCACCTGAAAATAGAGACAATTTGACATTTCTTTTTCAATTTGGATGCCTTTTAAAATTTATATTTTAAATTTTGTCTAATTTCTCTTGATAGAACTTAAAGGATTTTAAGTTGAATGGGATTGGTATGAATAGGCATCCTTGACTTTTTTCTGATGTTAGAGGAAAAACTTTCAGTTTTTCACTGGTGAGTATGATTTTAGCTGTGGGCTTGTCACGTGTAACCTTTTATTATGTTGAGGTACGTTGCCTCCATACATAATTTGTTGAGAGTTTTAGATCATGAAAGGATGTTGAATTTCGTTGAATGCTTTTTCTGCATCTATTGAGATGATACAATTTTTATCCTGCATTCTATTAATATAGTGTATCACATTATCAATCAATAAAATGAAAAGGCAGCCTATAGAGTGGGAGAAATACTTGCTAACCATATATCTGATAATGTACCAAATATATAAGGAAATCATAAATCAGTGGACTTCCCTGATGGCTCAGTTGGTAAGGAATCTGCCTGTAATGTGGGAAACCTGGGCTTGATCCCTGGATTGGGAAGAATCTCTGGAGAAGGGCATGGCAACCCACTCCAGTATTCTTGCCTGGAGAATCCCCATGGACAGAGGAACCTGGCAGGCTATAGTCCATGGGATCACAAAAAGTCGGACACGACTGAGGGACTAAGCACATAAATCAGTAGAAAAAGAAAATTAAATAACTTGATTAAAATGTCATTAAAGCAATGAATAGGCATTTCTCCACAGAAGATGTACAAATAGCCAACAGAATTATGAAAAGGTGCTTAATATCGTTAATCATCAGGAAAAGGCAAAGTAAAACCATAATGAGATACCACCTCACTCCTTGTGTGGTCAGGGCACTGAAGATAGCTGTTATCTTGTTCTCTGTACATCCTCTGTTGGATCAATGTCTGCCTCACCTACACCCTACTCATAAGACTGACCTTCCTGTGTACTTGCCCCAGGCTAAGGTTACTACTCAATATTTGATGTTTAGTATTACTTGACCTTCAACAGCAAAGTAAACTTATAATCAATATTTAGCTTTAGGATAATTCATTGTTTGTACTTTCAATAACTACCAGTTGAAAGTGCACAGAAATCTGATAAAAAGAAATGATTAGTTCAGAATTGACAGAAACCTTAAAGATCACTTGTTTTTATTTGAAGTAAATTGTTTCATACTCACTTGAGAATGTAATAATGACCTCTGGTGCTTTTGAATTCACATTTGAATCTCTAAAATCTTCAGAGACTTATCCCTAAAGACAAGCAATAATAAAAGATAGGATGGCTGCTATATAACAATGTCTCTGAATTTATTGCTACAAATGAACAAATTCTTATTTCAAGAGGTAAGGCTTTGCTTTGTGAATTAATCTGTTGTACTGAGTTTCATTTACCGTTTGAGAATGTTTTACCCTAAAGTTGTATCTGTACTCACAAGCTTGGGCAGAGGTAATCCATCAGTCAGCTAGCAAGTAACATTAGCTGAATTAACCAAAGTTTCTACAGTCTAGTGTGCATAAACAGGCATAATTCAAGGTACTAGGATTCATCATTTTCCACCCATAAGATCAGAAGCTCACACGGTCTTTTGACACTGTCTACACTTGGCATTCAGTCATTAAACTAATAGACTCACTAGCTTTGAGATGCTTTGCAGATTTACTGTTTGTAAATATCTTGTGGAAAGATTTCCTTTGTTTATTGCTCTGTAGACTTTAACTGACAGGCAACCAGAGACTTTGGACAATATCAACTATATGAATCCAGAAAATCTGGAGGTGATTTTCAACCTGGCCACTCACGATGAAGCTGGGTAAACTTCTTTTCAGGCTGTAATTGTATTCGGCTGTATATCATGTTGAAACTAACATTATTTTGTTTCACAGTACTCCATGGGCAAAGGAGCCTGGTGGGTTACAGTCCACGGGGCTGCAAAGAGTTGGACATGGCTGAGTGACTGAGCACAACAAAGATCTCATCCATAACTTCAATTTGAAATTTCTCTCTTTTTCTTCTATTGTATTTCCCCTTTCAAAAACATGGTCTTGTTTTATTGATAGAAAATGTAAATATTGTGACTAACTAGGCACCTTGTTTATACATTAGCTGTCAGAAAGTGGAAAGGTAATTTGTTATCCATCCTTATCCAAGAGATATGACTTCATCTTAAGTGTTGTTTAATTTCATTTAGAGTGTAGTTTCTAAAGGAATGTACTGGTTTCAAACTACCTAAGCTCCACATCTTGATTTTACCACTTGCTGTATAAACTTAGGTAAGTTTCTTAACATTATCAAAGTCAGTTTCTTCTAAAAATAAAAGTACTTAATATTATTTCATGGAAACTAAAAATAGAACTTAATATATAAAACTCTTAAAATTGTGCCCATCATTTATTAAGCATTTCATAAATATTAGCTATTGAGTCCCCTTAACATAATCCTATATGTATTTATATATTTTAATCTTTGTTATACTGATCAGTTCTTTTGCTCTTCTCATAAATCTTAATTTTTTAAATCTTTAGCTTTAAAGTCTCTTTATGGCTCAGATGGTAAAGCGTCTGCCCACAGTGCGGGATACCCAGGTTCAATTCCTGGGTTGGGAAGATCCCATGGAGAAGGAAATGGCAACCCACTCCAGTACTTTTGCCTGGAAAATTCCATGGACTGAGGAGCCTCGTAGGCTACAGTCCATGGGGTCGCAAAGAGTCGGACACGACCGAGCGACTTCACTTTCACTTTCTTCTAAGTACATTTTATCAATATATAATATAGAGGGAAAGGATCTACATTATTTAAGCAGGTTTTTTTTAAGTGCTTTTGCTAAAAACAATTTTTTAAATACAGAAGACACACATGTATAAAATGTAGAATCTAAAGTTAAAAAATCCAAGCTTAGCTTGAATAATTTTTTTCTTATAATAACTTCTATATGTATTCATGAAAATAGAACCATTGAATTTACAATTTTTTAATGCAGTGTTTCATCATAGGTTCATTTTGATAGCAGCTACCTCATCTCATGGATTCCCTGGGGCAGAGGAACGATACTACAATGACAGGGTTCATTTTACTGGGCTTAACAAATGATCCAGTCCTTCGAATCATCCTCTTCATGATCATCCTCTGTATCTACCTGGTGACCACATGTGGGAATCTCAGCACAATCATTCTTATCAGAATCTCGTCTCAGCTCCATCATCCTATGTATTTTTTCCTGAGCCACTTGGCCATTGCTGATGTGGGCTGTTCATCTTCTGTTACACCCAATATGCTTGTAAACTTCCTGGCGGAGGAAAATACTATCTCCTACCCTGGCTGTGCCATCCAGCTTGGTTCAGCTGTTTTCTTCGGGTCAACTGAATGCATTCTTCTGGCTGCCATGGCATATGATCGCTTCACAGCAATCTGCAGCCCACTGCTTTATTCCACCAAAATGTCCACACAAGTCTGTGTCCAGTTACTCATAGTGGCTTACATAGGTGGTTTTTTCGATGCTTCCTCCTTTACTATTTCCTTCCATTTTTTGCTTTTCTGTGGACCAAATCGAGTCAATCATTTTTTCTGTGATTTTGCTCCTTTGGTTGAACTCTCCTGTTCTGACACCAGTATCCCTGCAGTTGTCACCTCATTTACAGCTGGCTCCATTATCGTGGTCACAGCAGTTGTTATAGCTGTATCCTACATCTACATCCTCATCACCATCCTCAGGATGCACTCCACCGAGGGGCGCCACAAAGCCTTCTCCACCTGCACATCCCACCTCACAGCAGTCACTCTGTTCTATGGGACCATCACATTCATTTACGTGATGCCCAAGTCCAGCTACTCAACTGACCAAAACAAGGTTGTGTCTGTATTCTACATGGTGGTGATCCCCATGTTGAATCCCCTCATCTACAGTCTCAGGAACAATGAGATTAAGGGGGCTCTGAAGAGAGAGCTTGCCAGAAAAATATTTTCTTAGTGAAGTCTGTTGTTTTGTAGGAATTGATATAATAAAATACCATAAATATAATAATAAAAAGAAATTGAGTAGTTGTGCTCTAAACATAATGGTCCATATGTAATTAGCCAATGTGGAGCTTCTTGGTAAAGGTAGGTGGTGGATTTTCTGGAACCAAATTGTTAATCAGAGGCTAATAGTAAGTTATCTTTAATAAAGCAAAATTGAAGTTATCATAACAAACATATTTGTTCCTATGTAAAAAACACTTGATCTGCTAAAAATTCTTTCAAAATTGTATTCATACCTTTTCAAAAGACATTCTCTGCTGTAAGTTAGGGGTTTTGTACTTTCAAACATTGCAGACTGTGTCCATATTCAATAGCAGCTTACCCTGAAATAAGCATGATAATTTCAGTTATTACTAAACACATTCTGTGGGGAGATGACCAGGTAGAACCAGACAGTAAAACTTCTGAAGACTTTCTTCTTGCAGGAAGTTTGTTTCCCAGCAGTGGGATTTTTGGACCCATAAATTCTGATCTGTGTTCTTCATCTCTGGTGCCAGCCTAGTTATAGAGGACCCATTAAAGAATAGGATGAGATGCCCCTGTCCAAACCAACCGTGAATTCTTCTTTCAGGTCAAAACAGGTGAATTCTTTGTATAAGATAAGCAGGGCTTCTGAATTCCTAGGGAGTAAGTAGGCAAACTCTTTAATTCCTAGGGAGTGTTCATAGTCAGATTCACATCCTACTAAAAAAGCTAAGTGAACTAGACTATGTTTCCCCTGTGAAATTTATCTGTATATACTGATGACTATCATATTTATTTCTCTTTCCCTGTCTTCTATTTAATGCTTCAGAGAGAAATATTTTTGTTTGTTGACTCTCAAGCACAAATTATCTGAAACTAAACTATTTATATCCTTATACCTCCGACTTGCTCCCCTCCAATGTTCCATACCTCAATAAGGAGCACCATCATTCAGTCAACATATTGATTGATTCATAAACCTGAATTGATTTCTTTTTCACCTTCAAACACCTACATTTAACTACCAAGTCTTTATATTCTGAGTCCCAGACTTCTCTATTTCTCTTTACTTTCACTGTCAGCAGTTCTATTTCCAGCAATCAATTTATACATTTTACAATAATACTCCCGAGATAGCTAATTTTCCATGTTAATTTGAGTGACCAGCTGTTTGGTCAAACAGCAGTCCAGACGTTGCCATGAAGGTATCTGTAGAGGGAGGAGCTAAGATGGCAGAGGAATAGGATGGGGAGACCACTTTCTCCCCTACATATTCATAGAAAGAACATTTGAACGCTGAGCAAACTCCACAAAACAACTTCTGATCGCTAGCAGAAGACATCAGGTGCCCACAAAAACAGCCCATTGCCTTCAAAAGGAGGTAGGACAAAATATAAAAGAAAAGAAGAGAGACAAAGAATTAGGGATGGAGACCCGACCCGGGGAGGGAGTCATAATAGAGGAAGTTTCCAAACACCAGGAAACCCTCTCACTGGCGGGTATGTGGGAAGTTTTTGAATCTTGGAGGGCAACCTAACTGGGAGGAAAAATAAATAAAACCCACAGATTACATGCCTAAAAGCAACTCCTAGCAGAAAAATACCCCAAACACTCGCATCCGCCACCAGCAAGTGGGGGCTGAACAGACAGGAGCGGGCGGCATCCCTTAGGGTAAGAACCGGGCCTGAATGCCCTAAGGGCAATCAGAGGGAGCTAAAGTGAGATAGCAACTTAAACTGTGGGATAGCAAGAGAGAGAGTGCTAAAAGTGCTAAAAGTGCGAAAAGTGCTAACCAAACACACTGTCGGCCCGTTCGCAGAGCAAAGGAAGGACTGAGCATTTCCAGAGAAGAGCTAGCTAGCTGCGGACCGGCCCATCCCCCACTGGAGGCAGGAGGTGGGGGGAGGGGAAAGGGGCAAACTTGGCCCCAGAGATGGCATGCCCTACCAAACTGCAAACAGGCTCCCAGTTTCTAGCCAAAGACTTCCTGAGATTCTGGATGGTTGACATCCGCCAGGAGGGTCTCAGCTAGAGACCAGCTCTGGGCCGGGCGCGCAGAAACTGAGACTGGGACCGCGGAGGGGAGAAGGCGCACCGCACCTGGGGAGAGTGCGCTCGTCAAGCTCCTGGCTGCCTGAGCTGCTCGGGCCAGGGAAGGCACAAAACGCAGGCCCAACCGAGTCTGAGCTTTTGTGGAGTACCTGAAAACTGAAATTGCATGCAACTCAGGGCCCGCTCGCTATAGAGCAGCCTGGAGCCTGAGCAGTGTAGACGGGGAAAGCACACACGCCGTGAGCAGGGGCAAACCCAGTGTGGCTGGAACACTGTGAGTGCTCCCCACACAGGCCAGTGACATTTGTCTGCAGCGCCCCTCTCTCCCTACAGCACGACTGAACCAGCGAACTTAAACAAAAGACCATCTCTGCCTGCTTGTGTCAGGGTGGAAATTAGACACTGAAGAGACCTGCAAACAGAAGCCAAATAAACAAAGGGAATCGCTTCAGAAGTGACCGGTGCAACAGATTAAAATCCCTGTAGTTAACACTGACTACACCGGAAGGGGCCTATAGATATTGAGAAGTGTAAGCTGGAACAAGGAGCTATCTGAAACTGAACTGAACCCACACTGCCTGCAACAGCTCCAGAGAATTTCCTAGATATATTTTTACTTTTTTTTTTATTAAAAATTTTTTCTTTTTTTCCTTTTATTTTCTTTTAAAATTCCCTATTACTCTTCTATTACTCCTTAATTTTCATTTTCATTTCACCATAACCTTGCAAAAAAAAAAAGACCCTATTTTTAAAGCAAACTTCATATATAGTTCTTAAATTTTTTGTGTTTCTGTTTTTAATATTGTATTTTTAAGAGTCTAACCTCTGCTCTAGATTTTTAATCTTTGTTTTTCAGTATTTGATGTCAATTTTGGACATTTAAGAATCCATTATTCAGTACCCATTTTTACTCGGGAGCGTGATGATTACTCTCTTCCCCTTTTGACTCTCCTTTTTCTCCCACAGATCACCTCTATTTCCTCCCTCCCCCTTCTCTTCTCAATCCAATTCTGTGAATCTCTGTGGGTGTCTGGGCTACGGAGAACACTTTGGGGACAGAGAACTGTGTAGATCTGTCTCTCTCCTCTTGAGCCCCCCTTTTCTCCTCCTGCTCATCTCTATCTCCCTCCTCCCTCTCCTCTTCTTCATGTAACTCTGTGAACCTCTCTGGGTGTCCCTCACGGTGGAGAATCTTTTCACCATTAACCTAGAAGTTTTATTATCAGTGCTGTATATTTGGAGAAGTCTTGAGGCTACTGGAAGAATAAGACTGAAATCCAGAGGCAGGAGACTTAAGCCCCAAACCTGAGAACACCAGTGAACTCCTGACTACATGGAACATTAAGTAATAAGAGATCATCAAAAAGCCTATCTACACTGAACCAACCACCACTCAAGAGTCAGTAAGTTCCAGAGCAAGACATACCATGCAAATTCTCCAGCAACACAGGAACATAGCCCTGAGCGTCAACATACAGGCTGCCCGAAGTCACACCAAACACATAGACCCATCTCAAAACTCACTACTGGACACTCCATTGCACTCCAGAGAGACGAAATCCAGTTCCACGCACCAGAACACCAATGCAAGCTTCCCTAACCAGGAAACCTTGACAAGCAAATTGTCCAGCCCCACCCACTGGGAGAAACCTCCACAATAAGAAGGAACCACAGATCACCAGAATATAGAAGGGCCACTCCAAACACAGCAATCTAAACAAGATGAAAAGGCAGAGAAATACCCAACAGCTAAAGGAACATGAAAAATGCCCACCAAGCGAAACAAAAGAGGAGGAGATAGGGAATCTACCTGAAAAAGAATTTAGAATAATGATAATAAAAATTACCCAAAATATTGAAAACAAAATGGAGTCACAGATAAATAGCCCAGAGGCAAAGATTGAGAAGATGCAATAAATGTTTAACAAGGACCTAGAAGAAATAAAAAAGAGTCAATTAAAAATGAATAATGCAATAAATGAGATCAAAAACACTCTGGAGGGAACCAACAGTAGAATAACGGAGACCGAAGATAGGATAAGTGAGGTAGAAGATAAAATGGTGGAAATAAATGAAGCAGAGAGGAAAAAGGAAAAAAGAATCAAAAGAAATGAGGGCAACCTCAGGGACCTCTGGGACAATGTGAAATGCCCCAAATTTGAATCATAGGAGTCCCAGAAGAAGAAGACAAAAAGAAAGGCCATGAGAAGATACTTGAGGAGATAATAGCTGAAAACTTCCCTAAAATGGGGAAGGAAATAGTCACACAAATCCAAGAAACCCAGAGAGTCCCAAACAGGATAAACCCAAGGCAAAACACTCCAAGACACATATTAATCAAATTAACAAAGATCAAACACAAAGAACAAATATTAAAAGCAGCAAGGGAGAAACAACAAATAACACACAAAGGGATTCCCATAAAGATAACAGCTGATCTATCAATAGAAACTCTTCAGGCCAGAAGGGAATGACAGGACATACTTAGAGTAATGAAAGAGAATAACCTACAACCCAGATTACTGTACCCAGCAAGGATCTCATTGAGATATGAAGGAGAATTCAAAAGCTTTACAGACAAGCCAAAGCTGAGAGAATTCAGCACCATCAAACCAGCTCTTCAACAAATGCTAAAGGATCCTCTCTAGACAGGAAACACAGAAAGGTTGTATAAACGCAAAGCCAAAACAACAAAGTAAATGGCAACGGGACCATACCTATCAATAATACCTTAAATGTAAATGGGTTGAATGCCCCAACCAAAAGACAAAGACTGGCTGAATGGATACAAAAACAAGACCCCTATATATGCTGTCTACAAGAGACCCACCTCAAAACAAGGGACACATACAGACTAAAAGTGAAGGGCTGGAAAAAAATATTTCATGCAAACGGAGACCAAAAGAAAGCAGGAGTCGCAATACTCATATCAGA